TCTCTTCTCTTATTTTCTCTCTCTCTCTCTCTCTCTCTCTCTCTCTCTCTCTCTCTCTCATCTCTCTCTCTCTCTCTCTCTCTCTCTCTCTCTCTCTTTTTATTTCTCTCTCTCTCTCTCTCTCTTATTTTCTCTCTCTCTCTTATTTCTCTCTCTCTCTTCTCTCTCTCTCTCTCTCTCTCTCTCTCTCTCTCTCTCTCTCTCCTCCTCTCTCCTCTCTCTCTCTCTCTCTCTCTCTCTCCTCTCTTATTTTCTCTCTCTCTCTTATTTTCTCTCTCTCTTTATTTTCTCTCTCTCTCTTATTTCTCTCCTCTCTCTTATTTTCTCTCTCTCTCTTATTTCTCTCTCTCTCTCTTATTTTCTCTCTCTCTCTCTTATTTTCTCTCTCTCTCTCTTATTTTCTCCTCTCTCTCTCTCTCTCTCTCTCCTCCTCTCTCTCTCCTCTCTCTCCTCTCTCTCCACTCTCTCACTCTCTCTCTCTCTCTTCTCCTCTTCTCTCTCTCTCCTCTCTCTCTCTCTCTCTCTCTCTCTCCTCTCTCTCTCTCTCTCTCCTCTCTCTCTCTCTCTCTCTCTCTCTCTCTCTCTCTCTCCTCTCTCTCTTATTTTCTCTCTCTCTCTCTCTCTCTTATTTTCTCTCTCTCTCTCTCTCTTATTTTCTCTCTCTCTCTCTCTCTCTCTCTCTCTCTCTCTCTCTCTCTCTCTCTCTCTCTCTTCTCTCTCTCTCTCTCTCTCTCTCTCTCTCTTTCTCTTTCTCTTGTTCTCATTCTCTCTCGTATGAATGATGTTAATATTCCACAAAAATGATATGGCTGACAAGGGAATTGGCAGGAGAATTGAGAATCCTCTTCACTCACAGATGGAGGACCAAGGGAATTCCAACAGCAATGGTAGCAGCACAGGGAGCGAGAAGGGAAGTGGAACAAGGATAACACGGTCCCAGAGAGGTGGAGGAAGTAGTGGAGGTGGAGGTGGAAACTCTAGCTCGGCTGAAGAGTCAACAACAGGTAAAGATAGTTTTATGCTGTCTGTTGCATTTTTGGAAAAGCACAGTTTTAGTTATTTTTCCTTAATGTGATCTTTCTTTTGTCTATTAATACAATATTTATAAGTTAGGGGGGTAAATAAGAAATTGCTTATTGTTTTAAAAACAAAATATTGCCTTAATGCTCGTTGATTGGGACTTTAACAGATTTTGATCAAATGTTAACTATCGTATATTTTCCATTTTGGTAAAAGTAATTTGTGAAGTTTGTGAGTTTCTAAATTTAATTCAGGTAAAAAAAAATAAATGAATGAATCAATAATTTTAAAATGAAAAGTAAAAATTGCGGTAGCACTAGAAGCAGTTCAGCTTTGCCTAGATCATCTTAGACAGCTTGTTAGTTGTGTGTCCCACAGTGAAAGCGGAGGTGAAGGTGGAAGAGTCAACAATCTCTTCCACTTCTCCTGATGCTGTTCATCCACGCAAGAGAAAAATACGCATGAAGGAGACAGAACCTGAAGCCCCACCAGTGTCACTTGTTGACCAACCTATAAGCAACTGCTACGAGACCTTCTTGAAAATAAGAAAGCAGGTTTGTATATCCCTCTTATTCCTTCTTTTAACTCCATTATTCTTGTCCCAAGTTTCATCCAAAACAAATAAAAACTGAATTTGGTGTGTTATAGCAATTACATGAAAAAAGTATGGTGTGCATCAACTCTCAATGTACAGTGACAGGACTAACCCCCCCCCCCCCTGCAAAGTTATTTTGTATAAGTGTTTTTAGCTTTTTTTTTTTTTTTTTTTTTTTTCTTTTCTTTTTTTTTTTTTTTTTCTTTTTTTCCAGTGTCCAAATTTGTTGTGATTTGCTTTATCGAGATAGTAATACACTGTTTTCCTTGCACAGACTCCATATCATCTCTCTGTGTAGTAAATATCTCAGTGCAGTCATATATTTTATTTTTCCATAAAATTCAGCTTTCTGTAATACTACCTGCATCATCAGTCTTGGCAGCCAGGGATACAATGCTGTGCAAGGATAGGGCATCCTTCCTGGAGCCGGTGATCTTCCAGTCATGGTTTATGGACTTTACATTACTCACTTAGTTATTTATCAATGGGAATAATGCAAATGCCCCTTTCTAAACATGAAATGAGTCTAATCATTCTCCAAAAGATTTTTGCAATCATGGTGAGTCTCTTTTACCATCCTGTTCCTTCATTCATGACAGTAAAATATTGTCACTCGGCCAGTGGCCATTTTGTCCCATGATGGCATGTTCACACCCCCATCAGTCAAGGCAGATGTTTTCATGATGTGATGGTCACAACACTCTGATCAAAGGGGTTAATGATAATGTTATAGCCACAATTTTACCTACATCTCTCCCAACCCAGATTGAGCGAAGGAGAGAGAACCTGCGCCCAGTCCAGCCAAAGCCTCCCCAGGGGTTCAAGGACTACCTAATGAACAGATGCTCCTATGTGCTAGCAGGGAATGCTTCTTCAAGGCTATCTGTACCTGTGATCTCCCCTCCAGCATCCCTGTGCCAGTTACTGAAGGACCTCTTTAATGAACAGGAGAAGGAGCGGTATAGGCTAAGATTACAGGTGTGATTTATGTCACTTTTTTTTAAATTTGATGGTATTGGCATATTGTTAGAGGAAACAAGGAATGAGATCAGTTCGTTCATGTGACGAAAATAAATAGTCATCTAGCACAGGGTGAGGAAGACATTGCAAACTATAATTTTATTGTTTTTCCTTTAGATTAAATGGATTTTTTTCTTTCTTTCCTTCTTTCTTTCTTTCTTTCTTTTCCATCATCCTGCATAAACAAGTTTTCCACAACTTAGAAAATACTCACCTATTACTGCAATATCTCATGAAACTTTCCTCCACAGCATCTCATAGAGAAAGAAAAACTAGTGTTAAGTGTTGAGCAAGAGATTTTGCGTGTCCATGGAAGAGCAGCAAGAGCCTTAGCCAATCAAGCTCTTCCGTTCTCCGTTTGTACATTTTTGAAGGATGAGGAGGTTAGTTTTTATGTTTTTGTTAAGACTCATTCTGATTGTCTTGCCATTAGTGTGTAATGAACTTCAGTTTTGTAAAAATGGAAGTGAAAGCTCTTTTTGTTTATTCATTCTTTTGGATTGTTAGTAGACTGTAAGATTTGATTTCTATCCCCCAAAAAATTCCTGTAAGTGATTAGTTACAAATGTTGATTTCAGGTTTACAACATAATTTCCCCTGAGCAAGAAAAGGATGGTAATGCTCGCTCTAGGTATAATGGCCGACTCTTTCTTTCATGGCTACAAGATGTTGATGATAAGTGGGATAAAATTAAGGTAAGAAGCATTCTTTTGTCTGAATCCTTATGTTAAAAATTAATCACCTTAATTGACTTCTCCTGGATTTGTTATAGCAAATTGCTAGTAGGAGAAAAATAGATGAAAATGCATTGATTTATTAAATTTATATAAACATATGTATTGGAAATGTAGATTTTCTTAGTTTTCCATGTTTTTTTTCCATATACATTGCTTCTATACATGTTTTGAATTTCTAGTTAGGTTCATATGTACTTTTTAGATTTGGATAAAAATAGTCTTAACCCATTAACGGTGGTATATTTTGAAGCCAAAAAGAAAAGACTCCGGGCGGCTACAAAATTGGCGGGCGGGGCTGCCCCGGACTCTGCCTGCCCGCTGCTGTGTCGGAGCGCGAGCCCCGATACAGCATCACACTGGCGGGATGCCAGGCAATGTTTATTTTTTCAAGTGTCTCATATGTGGGACACCTGTCGTTAGTGGGTTAAGGGAGCATATTTTCAAGTTTTAAGAGAAGGCAAACTTTAGTAGCAAAACTTCTCAGTTTGAAAAACAGTGTAGACTTTCTAATGGAATGTGTATCTGGTTTCCCCCCAAGGAAAACATGGTGCTGCGCCACCACAATGAGGCAGAATCACTTCATGCAGTGCAGAAGATGGATTGGGAGTGGAAACTGAAGGAATTAGGCGACCTGGATGCCAACACCAAACCGCAGATAGACGACCTGCATGTACCCATGGTCCATGTCTCAGATGACTTTGACCTCCTTCCAGCCTGAGAGGTAGAGGCTGATGAATTGGATGCAGTTTTTTATGATCATTTTTGTCTTTACATAAGGGGTGATTTTGAAGTCCCAAGGTGTGAGAGCTATAATTAGACTTCGTACTACGCTTCGTCGTGTAATGCCTTGCCTGGTCACACCACCTCAACTCCTGCGACTACTTTCGCAGCCCAGAGTAGTGGCGGCTTGGCTTTTTTTTTTTTTTTTTTTTTTTTTTTTTTTTTTTTAGATATTTTGCACATGAGGCAAAACATGGAAGTGATGAGACATTCTGTGGCTGTGATATTTTCTTAGTTAAACTTTTTGAACTTTCTGCTGGCTTGCAGATAGGTCACTTAAAGAGAGAGGTAGAAGCCCTAAGCATATTTACCTTTTTTTTTTTTTTTTTTTTTAATAGATATATGTATAATAGTGTTCAAATTGTCTGTCACACTTCTTTGTCCTCTTCGATAGATCTTCCGATCACTCCCATGCAGAGGGAGTTTGTATCAATACTTTGGACAGAGAAATGGGTCTGTATTTCTGTGATAGAATCTTTCTTTCCTCTCTCTACTGTTTCTATCTTGTTTTCCTTGGCCTGTTATTTGCCAGGAAAAACTGTCCCAAACTATGAATATTTCTTATGTAATCTACATAAGCTTCCACAGTGTTTAACGGTAAATGTACCTTGCTGTTTGTACCTTTCGCAAGAAAAAAAATAAAAATAAAAATGTTATGCATGGAATATAAATGTCAGATATCATATATTTGTCATGGAAGTGCACCATTTTCTGTTTGAAATGTAGATGTATTACATTTCCCATGTTCCCTATTTTTGAGGGAGCTGTTATTTCATCTGTGTCAGATTGCTGTTTGGTAATGATAGAAGGACATTACTAACCTCAGACAGTTCTTTTTGGTTCAGGTGACAAGATAATCGTGTTGCCTGTTTTTTTCTTCCTTTCAATAGTTTTGATTATGTCATACATAACTTTAAATGGATTTTTGTGATCTGTCGGCATTCGGTGTGATGTTAGGATTGATATGTAACATGTCATGTATGAAGCCTGTCTGTTACCTAAAAGACTAACTTGCTCAATTTATTCTTTAAATGAGATTAACTCTTATTCCATTAAAAAGGGACTTATTATTTAAAACTTAACTTTTGTGAAATAGGGAGATTGTATAATGTCATATATGGTGAAGAGTAAGAAATTATATTGTGATACATGTAATAATTGTTTGGTGTGTTGATAATTGAAGTATGAGAAACAAATTCAGTCACCCAATAATTATACAAATTTTAAGTTTGTTTTTATTATCCTGAATCAAGTGTTTTTCTTGGAAACTTCAAAATCCATAGTATGCAACCAGTTGTGTGTACTAGACATTGCCATTTTAGTATTATGAAAAGTTGGACACAATTTAGTGTTTATCTCTTTGGTGTGAACACAGCAACCTGTACCAGTATTTTACAGGATGCACCCCCCAGTCCCATGCCCATTGTTATTGTGGAGACCTTAGGAGACAGACTGAGGCCTAATGTGAAATATCTGGACTACCTTAGGCCGCAGCCCTTAGTTCAACCAAATTTGCAGTCTTCCTCTCCCACCTTCCCTTTCCTTCTTTTGTCTACTTCCCAAGTACCATGAAGGGATAACAGTTAATGATTAATGGTTACAAATTAAATAAATGTGCCACACATATAGTCATATAGCACTACAGAAAGGTGTAGTAATGGAAAGAAAGAGCAAGGCTTAGTTGGTTATAAGATGTGCTACACATTAGTTGTATAGCAGTTCAAGAACCAAAAGGGGTAAAGGGTAGTGAGGGTGAATAATTGGGCTAAGGTAGAGATTAACAAAGGAATCCTCCAAGGATGTCATAGAGTAAGGTAGTGATTAGAAAAACGAGAGAGGGGGGATTAGATCAGTATTAGGAGGGGGAGAATCCTGGGGAGTTGACAAATTGGAGGACGGATGGATGTCAGCCATCACTTCGAGTGTAGAGGGAATAGGAGCAGAAAGATTGGGAGATGAATGAAGTGTTGACATGTTATTTTGGGTCATGATTACATAGTTTTGAATATCCTCGAGAGTTTCTAAAGTGGAGTTATGTTGGGGATGTGACAGGGAGAGGTTGATGTAGAACCTGGAGTGGTACGTTTGGTTTGTCTTATACAATGAGTCGAGTGAGGTAGAGGAGAGGTAGATACCAGAGAAGCTGAGATTGGGTTATCTGGATTTAGAAAAGTGGTAGAGATTGGGGTGTCTAGATTTAAAATGTCAAAATAATTTGTCTGGGAGGGGGAGGGGAGGGCAGGGGCAGGGGCAGGGGCAGGGGCAGGGGCAGGGCAGGGGCAGAGCGAAGGACAGCATTGGAGTGGGAAGTAAGAAAGAACTCGTCTGTGAATCGGAGTATTGCCACCTCAGACTCAAAATTCTAGGTAGGGCAGGCCTTGTAAACTACATTAAGGGAGTAGCCACAATTGGCACATGTGTGTGATTGTACAAAGCAGTTTGATCGATCCTGACCGGGATGGGCACATAGAAGGCATTGTGCTGTGAAGCATCAGTGTTTGGCAGGGTAGCATAGACGCCAACAATTTGACATTGATGAGGGGATGATATTATCGGAGAGGGAAGACTTCTGCTAATATGGACATCATAGGGTCAGGTCTACGAAGGTAATCTGGGCAATATTGGTGGTCTTACAGCGGCCATCCCCAGCCCACACAATCATATGACTGTTGTTGCCAAAGGGGGCTTAAGAGACAGAGACAGACGCAATGCTGGGGATCACCCCTCTCTTGGGCCTCACCCTCGACTCTACTAATTTTGCACAGTCTTTCCTCTTACCCTTTTCGCTTCCTTCTTTTCTCCACCCCTTTCTACAATCCACTTCCTAAGGTACTAATTTTGCACAGTCTTTCCTCTTACCCTTTTCGCTTCCTTCTTTTCTCCACCCCTTTCTACAATCCACTTCCTAAGGTGTGAGCTGTGTTGAAAGGATAAAAGGCTGACGTGCTTATTATGAAGGGCATGGGGAATCATGGTCATGGTATTCCCCTATTTAAGGGGTCCCTGAGGGGTAGACATACTCCAGCCTTACCATAGCCTGTAATGAAGATTTTGTACCTTTATTAGGGGAATATGATGCCGTGTCAGTACAATGCTACACCATTCCCCCTAAAGGCCGTCATAAGTCCCCCACTAATATTGCCTAGATTACATCGTTTACATTGGCGCAGAGTCCCTACCTGTCCGACCATACCAAGCCCCAATCCCTCGTCAATGTCAGAATTACTGGCCCGTAGGCCATCCTACCAAACAATGCCGTTCCACAGGCCGTCGCTCTCTATGTGCCCAATCTGCTCAACACAGTCACGCACTTGGGCCAATTGTGGCGGCTCCCCTAATGCATTCTATAGGAGCTGTCATACCCACAAATTTTGAGTCCGTAGTAGCAATTCTCAGATTTAAACTTGGCCACACTAAGCGAATATGAATGAAGCACTTTTACCATGTTTTTCTCTTACTTCCTGCTCCAATAATGTCCTTTGCTCCACTCCCAAGAGGGGGGGAGGCTTAGGAAACGGAGACTGAGACCCAATGCAGGGAAAGTTCTTGCCTAAAATCTCAGACTTTTTCTAACTCCAAAAATTCGCTTGCTTTCTCAAGCGACCTCAGTAGATGGCTAGATTTGCGATTGTTAAGTCAAGTGGTGTACAGTCACCATGGCAACAGCATCGTTCGTGTACCGTACTGGTCACAATCCCAATGCAGGCATTGGCCAAGAACTCCGCTTAATATACTATCAGAGAAATATTTTTTTCACAGTATCTGATTCTGTAATTTCCTTAAAATCATAATCAAAGAAATTTAAATGAACTGAAAACGAAAGAAGGTAATGGAGATTATTAGAATAAAAAGTGTTTTACTTATAAATAAATCATTATAAGAACAATTTACCTCTTAATTTTAAACTCCTTGTCTCTCTAAATCGAAAATATCTGTTATTCTATGATATAAAGAATATTTCAAGTGAAAAAAGTCTGAGAAATTCTAGCAACATTCTTATGTTGACAGTGTATTCGATTACTTGTTATATTTAACTTCATACAATCGGACATATGGGAATGCGTAGGCCTATATTTTAATTCAGGGATGTTCATTTGTTTTGATAACGCGTCAGAGTGTACGAGTTGCCCATTGGAAGTGTGTCACTGTTTTAGAGGCGCTTTATATGAATATAGGAGAAAATATTGCGCTTTGTTAAGATGTTAGGTTAGATTTATTTGCTTCTCTATCATCTTGATACGGCGCTAGCTTGTGAGCTTGAAATGCATGCTCAAAGTTACCAACCGCCAATGAAATAAACTCCACCCTCATCTTATGTCTAAGTTATATCTCTCCGAGATTGTTGGTGGGAATACTTGTCTACTGCTTTTAAAACCCATGTATGTACAAGTCGTGTGCTATTTTGACATTTCTATGCTCTCCAAGGACTGTTTTGATTTGTACTTTATAGACACTTCTATATGTCTGGCATCACTGAACAAGGCTTGCCTGCCTTGGAAAAGGTTTTAAGGAGGGAACGGTAGAGTTCTTGGCCTACCAGCAAGAATTCTTGCCCAAGCGCTCCCCTGCTTAAAACACTCTGTTTTAGGAATAGTAGTACTAGCTTTTCACGTCAGTGGTACGGTAGTTTTCGGTCGTCCATATGTTATTGAATATTGATAGGAGAGGCAAGGGAGTGGTGGAAGGTTTCGTAATACACGGTAATGTAAACCGTCCTGGCCTTCGTGGGTGTTGCGGTATGATTGTAAGACATAATACATTTCAGAAGAAAAGGAGGCACTATGAGTTTCTGTAGAGGACATGAAGCTGAGAGCCCTCTCTTTGACTTTATGGAATAGAAGCGAGGAGAAAGGTGAGAGCCGCTACTGACCTGGGTCAAATAGGCACCAGGTACAGTAGCTCCTTGAACTGGGTCATAGATGAGGACATTTTGGATATGGTGAACGGTGCAGGATGAGGATGACTTTTGCCTGACAGTTTATGAATCCACCGCCAGACTGCAGAGGCAGGTGTAGGTGATGTTATGGAAGGAACATAACTTCGCCAGCCGTTGGTGATGGAATTTTGGGTTGTACAGAGAACATGAGCTGTTCCAACCTGCACATTTCAACCGTACACATTTTGGAGTGTAAAGTCAGTGGGTCCGGGGAACGGCTGTATAGGCTGCATTTAAGATATGGGCTGTGAAGTATAGAAACATGTCTGTAGTGGAGGAGAAGGAAGATGGAGATCAACGGTAGAGAGAGGTAAAGGTATGCCAGTCAAAGCACCAGCGAGGGTGGTTGGGGAGTGGGACATAGAAATAGGAAAAAAGGGGAATAGAGAAGTGATCATTATAATGAAGGTTGTCTAGAAGTGACAAAGGGAAGTCTAGGTGATGGGAAGGAGATCAAAGAAAAATATCAAAACATGAAAAGGATTGGGTACGCATTGACATCGATGAGGAGGAGGTTGATATGGTCAGACATTAAGGGGAAGGTCATGTCTACAGAAAGTAATTTTGACAATGTTGGTGGGGTTCTTCGATGATCTCTAGGATGAATGGAGGAACACTGTACTGATATCACATAGGGTCCTTGAGGCAGGCGAGGGTCTTCCCCACAATCTGACCAATCTTTGGCATCGATAGGGCAGTTTGCTGGGAAGATAGAGACAGTTCCAGTAGAAGTATTAAGGGTTGGATGAGGTTCTGCAGGAATGGGGTTGCTAGAGAGATCATTTCCCGGTTGATAATGCTATAGCTTGAGTTTCGGATGCAACTGTAACGAGACGGGAACGATCGGGTCGGGTATGGAAAGGGTCTCTGCTTGCTTGTTTTTGGAGGCATTGAGGAGTGGGTAGTAGTTGCAGTGTTCAGAGTCATGATCAAAGGAGAGCCTGGGGTTGGGGAAGCAGGAGAGTTTGAACTGGTGGGACTATATGATGAAACTAACAAGGGTATAACGTCTTCATTATTGGCCATGGTAAGCCTACAATATATTGGGGAAAGAAACAGTCCACCCTTCATCCTTTCAGCACGGCTTAGAAAGTGGATAGTAGGTGCTGGAGAAGGAACAGAAAGAAAAAGCAGGAGGGGAAAAAGACCATGCAAAATTAGAAGACTCGAGGGCTGAGGCTCAAGGTAGGGGAGATCCACAGCATTAGGTCCCAGTCCTTGCCTCCTAAGCCCCCCCCCCCAACACAACATAGGGCAAGGGATTGGGGGGGTAGGGTGCTCAAATGTAATATAAAATCCAATATATCTTATTTTGTTTGAGCCTTTATCCCATGCTGAACTAATGATATTGAAAAAATCATATTTTGTGAATTATGTAGCTTGAAGAAAAGGAATTGAAAATATCCGGATTGTTTTTTTTCTTGTTACATATAAAGTGTGATATTCATCTTTCAGGATACACTTTCCACATGAAGAGGCAAGAATGGTACTGAATAACTCTCGTAATCAATTATACACAACTTTTCTCAAGGTCCTTAATTATCTAGTGTACCGATATTTTTCTTTCTAGAAACTGTAATCAATTATTTAAAGGTAAATTAATATACTGTGCAGTCTGAGTAATGATAAATTGCAGCCAGAAATAATAAACAGTTATTTAATTTTCTATTTTTACACCCAAATATAATACCTTGAGCACAAGGAAACAAAAACAAGGATAAACAAATGTTAAGACTAGGTATATTTATAAGGAAGCTTTGACATACAATAATAAGAGATAAATAGGTATAAGCTTATTATTTTGCATTGACTTTGCTTTACAACTTACTGGTCATACAGCTGGATTTCAAATTTGGCATGTTAAAAAGTGCCACTAACAATACCAGCTTTTCTGGGAATTTGAAGTTAACATCTGTTGAAGAATTCCTTTCCTGTACTTTTTAAAAAATCTTTTGTTTACACCCAATATGTCATTGAATAGAAATATGGTGACAATTACAAAGGCAATTACAGTGCCTTACACAAAATACAAACCCCCCTGAAAAAAACTCTGAAAACCATATTTATGAAGTTTCTACATACTCTTCCTTAAAAAATACTATTCAAGTTCAAAATACAATTACAATGTGGCAAAGCTCTGGCAGCTTTTTTCCTTCTGCAAGACAGTTCCTTATCATCGTACTAAGCATATACAATATGTAGACAGAACAATATACAATATGAAGGCACCATCCTGAACATACATCTTTTTCTTGCAATATTTTCTATTTATGCACAGGGAAGGGATGAAAAAAGGGAAGATTGTTGACAGCAGAGGAGGCACTCTTTAGAAATAAAAGCCACAGGCAAAAAAACAGAAAAAATAACAATAAGAAGTAATAATAATAAATCAAAACTATTACATTCAATTAACAAAGGCTGTCTTCTATAAGGTACAAGGGCATATGATGGAAAAATGCTTGCTTGGTTCAAACAATATAAGAACATGCATCCTGTGGTGCAGAAGTAGGGTAATTTAACATACAAACCTGAAGGATTCTGGCTACAAAATGCTACAGCATGGTGAAATTTAGAAAGAAAAAATCTACTAAATCCATATTATCAAATATAAGAGACCACCATATTCCCTCAAGCTTTATACTGAATTCTAAAATCTAAAGAAGTCAGAAGATCCTGTGCTTTCAATACTGTAGAATGTAATAATAAGAATATCAACAAACTCACTGTAGATGCTACTTTGTGTATTTAAATAAAATTATGTACAGCAAAACAGTCCCTAGTGATGAGCATATACACCCTTCCAACATCTCATGAAAGCATATTCTCCCAGTTGCACACAGGACAACTTGCAACTAATGACTTTACGCTTTAGAAAACCTTACCATGTACAGGCCTATATTCTTGATAAATGCAGCACTGTAATTTTAAGATACATAAAATAATTTCACTAGTAGGGAGCCAAATAAGTGTTTCCTACAGTCTCTTAATACAAGTCACCTTTTATAAATATCAAAATAAAACGAAAATGAAATATTAAAAAATACTGTATATAACAGTCATAATCATAGGAAAGATCATTATTTATAGTATAAAACAACAACAATAATAATAATAAAAATTATAACGGCAATATCAATAATGATCACAATAATAAAAATAAAAGCAACGCTAAAAGGCCAACTATCTGGGAACTCTAGGTAAACAAACGAAAAAAAATTCAGAAAAGGGTTTGGAACTGCATACACTTCAGGCACCAGTTCAAACATTATTGGGAGTGCTCATTTTTTATTTCCTATCATTCTCCTATTAATGGAAAAAAAAAAAAAAAAAAAAAAAAAAAACATGTAGCTTCCTCCTCTTATTCACAATGCCTAAAGTTTTTTGTTTTACTATTTTCTTCCGGTTTTAAGAC